GAAGCTTAATAAGAACTGGGTTGTTAAAACTCAACAATAGTTGCTTAGAACTTAGCCCAACAAAAAATATAATAAAGGGATATTTTATCTTTTATGTGATTTAGACTTTCTAGTGCATGGTGATAAGTGATGCTATTATTGTTTCCAAATTCTCCAAAGAAAATGGACCCATTTTGTTGCCTGAACCATCAAAAGACCTCCCCAAACTTTGTCCTTGTTATGCCAATGTTATGTACAAATTCAAAAGTTTTACAATTAATTTTAATATGTAATAAATATATACAAATTGGTTGAGTTTTCACAATTATAATTTGAGACATATTTTCTCAAAATGTGTTAAATTATACTTATATTCCAAGTAAGGCTTGGGTTTATTGCCCTAGTTCATGGGCTTGGGATTATTGTCCTAGTATGTGGTAATGGATTGCTCAAACCATGGAATTCCCCATAGTTAGGTCAGATATGGTTCTTTCCCTCCCTAAGAATTACGTAATGAAACTGGAAACTTAATGAGTTACTGTACCACTTATCTGGAATTTGTGATGCAAAATTTTTTTGGTAATGTTTGAGATGTGCTCTTTTTGTGAAAAAATTATATATATTTAAGAAAAGAGACTGAAAATGTACTATTAGTATCAGTGTGTAGTGTTCTGCACAATGATATTCTGGACTTAGCCTTGTAACTTGCTATGCCCTTGGAAAAGCTGCTTTAAATTTATGGCCTCTAAATTTTTTTAACTGGTAAAATAAGAGGGTCGTACTACCTGAGGTCCATTTAAATGCTAGACCTATAGTAATTTGTGCAATAATGTGCTTGACAAATTTTCAGAGTTTGCTCTAAATGGGGCTAAAAACTACGTGGAGAAATTTGGGTAGCTTATGTCTTAAAGCACATTTCAAAAAACCAGGCACACTTTTTTTTTTTTTTTTTTTTTTTGNTATGTCCAAGTATTTTTTTACCAAAAATAAAGACTTTACCAAAAAATTCAACATTAAATCTTATTATATTTGGTAGAATCATCTAAAATTTATTCTGGTTCAAAATAGTTTAACTGGCTTTGAGAGAATTTTGAGACACTAATTCCTGTAATACAAAATATTTCTGCATTTGTACAGTAGATTCAAAAATAAAGAATGATTGCACAGTCTTGTGGAAATGAAAAAACTGGACCGTGAGTTCTTCCTTTCCCAAATGAAAGTGTGTCTGAGCCCACATGTATTGGGAGGTTAACTATATAATGGAAATTCTCCAATTTAATTTCCGAGTAGAATACAATTTTTATTAAACAATAAGAAATAAGCATTTGCTAAATTGAAGCTTAATAAGAACTGGGTTGTTAAAACTCAACAATAGTTGCTTAGAACTTAGCCCAACCAAAAATATAATAAAGGGATATTTTATCTTTTATGTGATTTAGACTTTCTAGTGCGTGGTGATAAGTGATGCTATTATTGTTTCCAAATTCTCCAAAGAAAATGGACCCATTTTGTT